CTGTAGAACGTGAAATTTTATCCGGGATTGATTTGATTGTATCAATATTTGAAATGAGAGATATAAGTACATGTGTACAGTTTGTCGGACTACATCTCACCTACATCAGAAGTTGAAGTGATATGATGGTATTTCCTGTAACTCGAGATAATACGTCTTTGCCACATTGTAACGGTGCAGACACGGTGCATGTTTCTATAGTAACCAACAATTTTCCGACGATAATAATTTATCATATGACTTTGTTTGTGATGCTAGTACAGCCCATGGGCGTAACAAGGCCATATAGGATCATTTCACAGTAAACGGTAATCATGTCGCCGACGTTGTCTTTGTGCGAGTCTTGCAGCGAAAACATCAAACGAGCTCAGATCAGGAAAGTTCTACAACAGGATGTCCGTATATTCCGATGACTGATCTATAACTGGCCAAATAAATTAATTCTGTCTCCGATGTTTCCAATTGTATCCTGTATTGCTGAAGACGTTAAGCATGCGTCCTCGTAACTGTCTGTTACTCGCCGTTAGAAGCTTAGTTTTCATGTCCTTCACGTTAGCGCAATCCTTTGTATTTTGGGAAGCTTTGTGACTTTTTGATCTTTTCAATTTTTTAAAAAATTTTTGTAAGGATATCACACTATTGAAGTATTTTCCAAATATGGGAAAACTAACGGGTTTTTTTTATAAGTATTTGCACGTGATTTCATCTATGCGGTACAAGGGTCTTCTCATAGGGCTCGTTACGTTATCGATATTAAAAAACTCATTTGTATGTTGGAATCACAAACTGTAGTCTTAGACTTCAACTTAATCTTTCTGTTTTCTGTTCTCAAATTTATGAATTAAAAGGAGTCCGGAGACTCACATTATTAATGAGATGGAGCAAAATGAATCAATTTTGGGTGTCCTTGGTTAATCTAAGGAGACAAAACAGTTTTTGAGGATAAGGGGAGACTCTTCTGTAAACGAATGTATGGTATCGGTCTTTTTCGAAATACTCTTAAACGTCCTAACTATTTTTCGATCTTGCCAAAATGTCTGTCATTCCTTCACTCCTTGTTTCCGTCATAATTTTGCTTTCCGCTCACTTATTTTGAATTAGTACGGAGAAGACCTGTAGTGACGTGTTATGATATTGCCTCGGTGTACGTTCCTGGTTCCGATCAAATTATTATCATTATTATCATTTCGTTTGTTTCTTTTGCTCAACCCATATATTATTTAATCTGTGAAATCATATTTTAATTCATGGGAAAAAATATATAACATCGTCTTTCGGGTTCCTTACTTCCCAATGGTTCACGGCTGGGTTACATGTGTTCCACAAACTAGTCTAGTATCCCACTTTTTGACAGGATCAAAAGTTGTTTAAAAAATTAGTGATGATGGTCTACAAAATTTCACTTTTAGAATTTTTGTTGTCATATTGACTGTTAAATGGACATTGTAAGTCCTCCCCAACAAAGTATTCCCTTGTCTGCCGTACATAACAATAGAGGTGTTGTGTTAGGTTTCATACATTGTGTTAGGTCTTATACATGCACTTAAACCGTTTTGTTTATCGGTGACTGCAACTTAATCATTTCCGTGTAAAACACGTGTATTCCTGTGTCGTGGGTTCGATAAGGCCGAACGAACTACTTGAAGATAATTCAAATACCATTAAGTCCGTCCTGTCACTTACAAATAAATAACGAGTATTGAGCTAGGTTCATTATTTTTAATGGCGTCACAATGATGATGTCGTTAACAGCCTATCTAGTATATTGTTAACTTGTGACTCTTTCAACTTTGCGATCCTTGAAGATTTACACGGAGTCATATTCGCTAAGTTCCTCCTCCCTGTGCGCGCCCCTCTCTCCTCCCCCCTCCCCCCCCCTCCCACTTCACCACTGACTATATCCTAGACACATCTGTTGTATAGTTTACTATGTAAATAAACTCCACACGACGGTATTGAAATCAGGAAGAATTCGTTGATTTTCGGCAACACTTGAAAAGTAATCCCTCTGTCGCACGTGCCCTCTTCCTTAACATTCCAGACGACATATGAATTATTATCAGTCCCAGGTTAAAGATCAAAACATGTGGCTCTCATCAGCTTATCTCATACCACAAACTACGCGGCCCTGCAACATGTACACGATATCAGTACAAGTCGTCACACACCATAATCAACTACACATGGAGAAGTGCTTTTCATGACAAAATGTAAATACTTTTTTGTCCCGCCTCCCCTCCCCTCCATCCCCGATCATGTCTTAAAGTAAAAATTATCAAATGGCTTTGGGGTTATTTACTAACCATGGATATTAATCTTTCATATCTACATCATTGCAAGTTAACAAATGTAATACACTACATATTCCGCCTAGCACATAATACGGTTGCGTCATTTATTACATATTTGTATCCGATCCATGATACTATATTATTATCGTTTGTCCTATATAATTTACTAAGGAAAGATGTTTTCTATGTCGACTGAAATTTGTAAATGAAATTATGTAATTTGTAAATTTAATTCAACCATGAAAAGTATGTGACTTTGCTATCTTTTCTTTCTTAAAGTGCATTGAAAAGCATCTTTCGTAACTTTTTGTTTTCATTTTCAACAAGTTATTTGGTCTTAATACCAGCCATCTCTCTATTTCGTATGAAAACATTGTTCTATAAATCGTGCAATGTTATACACGATATGTTGTCGTACTGACACACAGGTTGTCTCCCTTATCTCGGTGACAATGGCTTTGTGAGATCGCCGACACATCTTTTCGTTGCGTGGTTCGCCACGAACTTAGTTAGATTTTAAGCCCTTAATATTACCGAATTGTAGCATGTTCCTGCTTTCAACTAAAAGATATAAACATCAAAAGTTATGTTAAGGGTGTATTTAACCTTGCTGTACATTATGAAATATTTCATGGAAACTGGTGGTACTTGTGTCCTTTAATTGAAATCTGGATTCTGTTTTTTTTTCTCACATATCAGAAGATGGACATTACGATTGCTTTTAAAGTCGCGTTTGAATTTTTTTGTAATACGAGCAGTTTTTTTATTCTCTCTAGATAAACTACTCCCTGTAATCCCCGAGAAGATTATATAGATCTGTATTCGAATGATTGTGATACAGAACTAATTACCTACACAAGATATCTCGGGAATCAAGTTTCTCCGATTAACAAAACCTAGAACATGATCCATTGATGTAAAGATAACGATGACGTCACAAACTCCGATAATCTCTTCAGAGAACCCCTGAGTCGACGCCTCCATTGGGCACACGTGTCTCAGTAGGGGGTGGGGCTCAAGTACACCTAACCACACCCCCGGGATTCAACTTTACTGTTATAATTACTGGAAACGTCACAAGAGGTCTGGAACTGACCATCCTAATGTCCGATGAATCCAGATGGTCATAATCTGGTCAACATGTCAGGATCCCAGCATGTCATGTAAACATTCCAGAGACACCAATATTGAACCAGCATAATTACCAATTAGCAAGAATAATGAATTTCCCGACTAGCATCGTCGAGAAGAATTCTCATACACTATTACAAAGTCTTGAGTACCCGAGATTTCGATATTTGTGAAAGGTCATGGGTTCTCTTTAGAAGAGAAACTTTCTTTCGCTAATTGACATAAACCAAATATAAGGTTTAACACATTTGAATTGTTGAAACATTTGAAACTAATATTCCTGCAATATCTTTAAAAAAATTACGCAACAAGAGAACTTGGCGCATGTGAAATCTCTAAACTAGAGATTTTCGATTTTCTCTCGAGAATTTCTACAAACTCTATTTTCGTGGAACTAACAAATTATGAAATGAACACCACGTTCCTTTAAAGTATGTGTGAAGTATCTTTAAGAATATAAGCTCGTGGGATGGGTTCATTGCAGAGGTAGCATGCTGAAATATCATTTTGGCGTTGAAATTCTTCATGAATTCAGGAATACAACTTTGTTCTGCGGCGCGGGATGTTTCTTGTGGTTCCGCCTCTTCATATCATCAAATGGAGTCGTAAAACTCACATATTTATCACAAGTGGGTATAATTTGTTACTAGAACATTCATCTTGAGTGAAGTAGACATGGATGTTAAACCATTCAGCACCTGGAAGTCGTTACATGTCATTTGTTCGGGGTTTTTTTTGAGAGAGAATTACTTGGGTGACCATACCGCAATCTCTCATCATTTCACATTTTTAAAAGAATATTTATTTTAAACAATATCTACAAGGAGTTGTGGATTTGTACTTGCATTGCCTCAGCTGGTTAACATTTTAAAAGTAATCAGCTAATTTTCAAAGGTTGATTATTATTAACACTTGAAGAAATTTAAACTTTTTTCAACACATAAGTCTTTGCGGTTGTATATCAATGTCTTTTAGAATCAGGAACATATTGGACATGCTCGACTTAATATTTTGAAGTTTAACAGAATTATATCACTGATTCGGGCTGTTAGGAAGGGTCTGACATTTAATTAGAAACAATGATGATAAAACATGCTGGTCCTCTCATCGCAAAGTAAAACATGAGCACACATTCTCCGCTATTAACACACAAGAAAAAGTGATTTATCATCACTAAGTATCGTTATAAGGGTGATATAGCATAATGCCTACCCTCATGGTGTAATAAAAAGTATGCTGCTAATCTAATGGTAATGCGCTCTGGGCATCTGAAATAAAATTCAGAAACTATGTATGAAAAAAAATCAATGTTCATTTTGAGATATTTGATAACTTTTAATGTTGAATTTATGAAATTATCATGGAGAAAAACTAATAAGCGGTTTACTATATCTGAACGTGACTATCCAAATGATAAAATATATATTTATGAATCACTGATTTAGAGCACTTAATTATGTAAGAAACAAACTATTTGCATACCAGAGTTCATAACATCCTAGATGTATCATATCCATCGAACAAATATTATGAATGTTACACATTTTATTATAAACAACATGTATTGTGTCTTTTCAGACGAACGGAAACAGACTTCACGGGGGACTTGTGAGTGAACTACTACAAAAATAAAAGTTTTATAAACACAACGAAACAATAAACAAATACATAAAGGAATTTGATATTTCTCTGTTCGGACACTCCCTGTGGGAACACACTACTTGTATCGGAAGGGGCTAAGGCCTGGTCTCCTCATAGGTGATTCACCGTACTCACTCAAGCGTGAGATCCCATTTTTGTCAACGGCGGTATATATAAACCAACCATGGATGAAAGCGAGGCACAGTTCTATGACGAGGACGAGGAAGAGATGCCGGCAACGGAGAGAGACTTAGCGGACGACGCTCAATGGAAAATCATTCAGAAGAACACCTTCTCCAGGTGGGCTAATGAACACCTGAAAACGGTGAACAAGCTCTTAAATGATTTGGAAACCGATCTAAGCGATGGATTACGTTTAATTGCGCTAGTTGAAGTACTATCCGGCAAGAGCTTTAAAAAGATCAACAAGAGGCCCAACTTCAGAACCCAGAAACTCGAAAATGTTACTATGGTTTTGGAGTTCCTGGAGAGGGATGAGGGAATCAGAATTGTTAATATCGGTAAGTGTGCTTAATATTTTTTGATATTATTTATGACAGATGAGTACACACACGTCAGTATTCGGGCGTGACGAGGTCACGACGTTTTAGTGAAATACCTTTGCATAATTCACCTGGCTCAGGTGAGCTTGTCTATCCCGGTCCAGCAGGGATATAAGACCTCCTAACTTTGATTCGGTTTATTTCGAAAAACCCGTTTTTAACGTGTGTCTATTTATAGTTTTTGTAATGGAGTCGTTCGTTATTTTCCATCTTACCTGTTGCAATACACACGTGTGGCCAAGTATAAACAAACATGGCTTCCAGCCTAACGTGTATTCAGCGGTGTAAGACTATCGATCGGCACTCATTTACATATTGCTTGCATTAAAAACTAGGATTTTTTGTTTTGCTCATAACAAAATATTAAAAATTCCTCGTGACTTCAGGCAAGAACATGTGTTGGATATTTTGGAATGTTGTGTATTACTGACCCATTTTTACAGTGACATCCAACACTTCAGTAGTCAATACACGTGTGTATTGAAACCGTCAAGGAGCAAGTTCATATGAATAATAGATAAGCTATTCATTAGAAGAATTGGCAGAGAGTTTTTTAATGTTGGAAATAACTTGGCAATTGCTGGCGAATGTGCTGTGTACAAACGCAAGGCTGTCTTCTTTAGCTCCGTTTATTCAAGATTCTCTAAAATTCAGTTAAACTGCCAATGATAAAATGTTTTACCATTTCATGTTAATATTAATTACTTATTGCAATATTTCCATCATAGAATTTCAAAATTATAGTGAAAGATAAATACTTCATTTTTTGGTCTAATTACATATTTTGAAAAATATTATCATGATCACTTGTCCGTTAGTTGCTATGATAAAACTTGTTTCTCTGCTTCAAACTTGCAAGAGGTTAAATAAATATCACTGCATTAGAAATGAGGTCAGATCTAAAATGGGTGTGTCCATGTGAGTTAGATCTTGGATTAAATTTTATCTTGAGGTTGATGCAGTGTGGGGGCGGATTTAGAGTCACTAACACTTCACTCCACACAAAATTGTTCAAAGCAGTTGATAATTACATAAAGTTGCTTGGATATAGCAGAATGTGTGCTAGGACTTGTCAGTTGTATTTAGTGATAAATTTATGGCATATGCCTGCTGGACCTTCTAGATCAGAACAAAAAATATTTCAGTGTTCAAATACTTATACCAATAAGAAAGTCAGCACTAATTTGAAATTGTTGTTACACTGTTGGCAATAATCCAAGCCTGATTGTAAACAAAAGTACATATATATACAGATACTAGTATCAGAATCTAAATGTAAAGTATACCATGAAACAAAGCTATATTTAAAGTTTTCACTTTACACAAATAAAATGTCAAAGTTGAAAGTGAAACAACAAATTGCTTAATTTGTGACATTTAGGGTTAGGAAGATGAAGTTTGTGTAGTTGTTAGTAGGAGCACAGAGAACATGTTTCTAAAATCCACATTTTCAATCTATGTATTTAACTATTATAGCTTTTTGATAATATCGTGTTTTGGTGTCATCAAAGAAAATTTAACCAATATCAGGATTATAATTAAATCTGTAGAGTGACACATCACTGGTTTAGAACTTGTAAAGGATAATGTGTTAAATGTATGTTGGCTGCGGACATGTATTGTATACATGTCAACGTGCTACAGGTGATTAACGAGGTTTACCTGTATGTCATCGCTTTGTATTTTCATGATGAGCACATATATAGGTCTAATGTAAATTTCGTCGGTTTTTCTTATAGTCACATGTATACAACACGGACAGGACATCTCGTAGAAATGTTTAAAAAAAATTATATTCCGGCCATCATTGTCAGTTAAACGTTAAAGTTTGTTTATAGCACCTTCAAATTCCTCTACAATGTTCTGTTCACAAGATCAATGATACACCTTCACCCAAGTCTCCAATTCACAAAGAGTCATTACGTACAACACCTTTGTGTAATAACAGCAGATTAATTTTTTTACCTGTATTTTTATCTAAATATTTATGTCCCTTGCCATGAATGAACTTTTATAATCCAAGGCAGACGATGTCTTGGTTTGCTACCTGTAACACATTTTATACCTGTACTTTAAATTCAATAAAATTGTTGTTATCTGTTGGTAAGTAACCTGTGGGAAATTTACTGGTGACATTCACAAAGAAGTTAGAAGATAGCTGGAGCTTCAGACTAACAAATCACCAATTAGTGTATTGTTCTGTTGACCTTTGTCCACTCACAATGACCTTTTAATTTGCCCCTGTCTAGTTTATTGTGAGTGTAATACAGGTACCTGAATATATGACCCTCACTACTTGTCTCACCTGTTTGTCGGGTATGCCTGGTTTACCTGTATACCTATTCCACACCCATACCTTGATACACAGTAGTTGTACCATAGTTTACCTACATGGTTATAAGGAACATATGTTTCTAATAAAAAACTTCGTTTATTTATTGATCAGTCTCAAATCAAGCATTGTTTTTGCATAAATTTTAATATCAGATAATGGTTCTCTTCTGTTTAATACATATATCTATTTATGGAAATAACGTACACATTATGGTATCAGCTCATCAGTTTAACAGATTGACCCTCAGGTTATTATATTTTCAATAAATTAGTCATGTTTATATTACAGGTAATATCCTTAAAAGTTAATGTGTCTTTATGAAGTTATTTGATTGTGTGTGTGTGTGTTTTTTTTTCTGTCGGCGACTCTGATACGTAGACATGGCTGGTGTACTATGGTGTACGTACTCTGTAGTCACAGACTTTCATGCAATTCTAATAGATTAACCACAGTTTTCACTTCATTTGACATATTAAAAAATAAAAACCAAGAAAAACGAACAGTAGTGCCTTGATTTGAAACATTTGAGGGAGAAAAAGCCATCATGGTTCGACAAGGAGATTGTATTTAAAACATGTTTCGACAAATTCTAATGATTTTAAAGGTGGCTTGAGGTTTTAAATAGTTTTTTTCTATTTTTCCTTAGACAAAAGATAGCGTTTGTTGTTTCAAACCTCCCTGTAGTTTTTACCAAACCCTATATCCATGTTTCTGATATTGCATTATTTATGTAAACACTCGACCATTGTTTGAAGTCTGTAATGTGAACTATGTTAACTACTTGAAGTGAAATCTGTCATTTCCTTTCTTTAAGCCTTGTATGTCAGTGCTTGAGTCATGCAACTTGAAACTTGGGCATTTCATACATAGTTAGCTCTATAGTAAAGTAGATGATAGATTGTGTCATTTGTACAATGATAAGCTGCACAATACAAGTAAACATTATACATGGTGTTAGCACAATATACTCAACAGGTTTTACTTGTATTTCATATAGAACTTGTACGTTGTATAAATTCTTGTCAGTTATAAACAGACCCATGTATAGACTTGATACATTGTGTATAAACCTGTAAAGTCTGGACACCTGTATAAACCAAATCTTTCAACTTGGTCACCCTTAGCACATTTCTATATAACCCTGTATAATATGTACATCTGTATAAACCAGATCTATAACTAGGTATTATTGTATAAATTTCTTTGTGTCCCTGTATAATATGGACACCTGAATAAACCAGACCATCATGAGGGTCTTACTGCATAAATTTCTATGTGAACCTGTGTAGGTTACTTTCTGGCACTCGACATGTATACATTTCTAGGTAACCAAATGTTATCTCATACATCTTAATTTGGCTAACAGTGTTTTAGATCCTGTGTGGATCTAGTTGTTATAAATCACAGATCATGTATAAAAAAAGTCATAATTATTCATAGAGGTGAGGGAATGGTTGTAATTTATTCCAATTGGTGACTTTTAGATTCCAACATGAATGAAACGACACACCTGAAAAATTTACACCTTTATGCGTAAGCATGTTTCATCTGTCAACACATTAAACACGGGGTAAAGTTCAAAATTTAAGTACAGAAGGAGTTTCGTTTGTAACGTTTGAGCTTTGATAACTTTACCAACACCAATGAAACGTAGCATGATATAAGGGAAATATTTCAGAGTATTACAACTGGATTGATTTGGATCGAACTGCAACACATAGATTCTCTCTCTACAATTATTAATTAATGACTAGGTAGATTCAAGCTCTCATTTTGCCAGCTGGTGCTGTTAGTTCCAGACATCAGGAGGAATCTATCCTAACAGCTATTGCTCTATAGATGTACTGATCAATATCTCCCCACACTATGTCAGGTACTTGACCATGCTTTATATCCTGCTGATTGACTCAGAATAATTAATTAATTAGATCAAGGTCTATATAGACCAATTCATTAAGTCAATAAATTTCATTTCATCATTCTTTTTTCAAAATTTTGTTAGTTTGCTTGAAATTAGTCTTTGTTTAGAGGAGGGAACTACTGGTAATAGAGACTGCAAACTCGTGTATTGTTGATTGTACAAAGTGGGCCTCCAGCATGATGTTCAATAAGATAACTACCTCTTGATAATCCTAGTTGTCATCAGAGTGATAAATCCAGTAAAACCAAATCAAAAGTTATAGTTTTTATTTCAATCTACAGAAGAAAGATTAACAATTGTTTTGAAACTTTAGGATGCAAACTGAACATATTAATTGAGGTCTACTTTTCCCAGAGAAACCAAGTTGACTTTTTTTCAAAAGGAATTAGGAAGATTTATGTGCTGTGTAACAAGAAATTCGTTTCCAGGTTTATCTGAATTTTGTTTATATTCCCAAGATGTTTGGTAGGGCGGTGAGAAGAAGCAGGTTTCCTACGATAGGCTCTGTTTTATTGTCGGCACATCAAAGTTTTGTGTGTGGGTCTCCTCTTTTACAGGTCTATAATTATTCATTACAAGGTCTATAACATATGATAGTAACCCTGTCTGCACCTGTATAAATTTAAGATATAGGATGAATATTTTTCACAAAGGTATAGGAAGTAGTTTTCACTGGTTGTTACTCTTTCAATATTACGTTGC